CTCCTGTGATTGACTTTCCCCAGGAGTCCCCATTTATTAAGCAGATCCAGAGTGCCTAAGTGTCGTAGACCCTGCAGCCTGTGTATGGGAGCCTGGCTTAATTCAGGGTAGGCTGCCTGAGGCCCTGCTCTGTCCCGCACTGGCCTTGTGCTGTCAGGGAAGATGCAGCGTCTCACCCAGGTGGGCCCTGCCAGGGAAGCAGCACCCAGCTGCTGTGGCAGCTCCTTTTTGTAACCATCAGCTACCTGGCTCTATCCACCACTTGGCCTGCCAAGAGTGGGGACACTTGCAGGTGCAACCCAGAATTAAAAATATCCTGCCTGCTCTCTGGCTTGAATGTGATGCTAGAACTCCTGGGCCCTTGGATCAGACCTCTGAGACTAGTTCTGTCTTTTAAGCTTCCTTCCCAGAGTCCCTCTGACTGATCTCAAAAGCCTCACTGATGGAAATTGCCGGCAGCTCCCAAAATCCAGCTTTCAACCTGTTTCAAGTTTCCAATAAAAGCTCATGACCCTAAGCCTGATTCTTCCCCCAACACAACCCCTTGGCCAGGTTGTCTATGTCCTCACTGCATGCTGCTCCGGCACAAAGGGGCTCAAAAAGATTTTTTTAAGTAGAGGATCCTGACTTTTTAATTTTTAAGTGGGAGTATAGTTTATGTACAATAATATATGTTACAGGTGCAGAATATATTGATTCACATCTTTTAAAGCTTACACTACATTAACAGTTATTATAAAATATTGGCTATATTCCCCATGTACAATATAGCCTTATAGCTTATTTTATACATAATTATACTCTTAGTCCTCTACTCCTATACTGCCCCCTCCTCCCTTCCCTCTCTGCACTAGTAACCACTACTTTGTTTAGAAGATCCTGATTTTGAAGAGTATAAATTATTTGCAAAGCCAACAAATAAGGAAGAACCACAGTAAAAAGACCTGGAGGATCTGGTCCCAAAGTACTCACTCCCTACCATCTCTCCATGGCACTGGTGCAGGCACATTTAAGTACTCACCATAGCCTAGCTGCGAGGCCCCTCTCCTCACGACAACCCCCTGTTAAAAGGTTACTTCTGTGAGACTCCTCTCCCCACATGGAGCAGAGCCCATCACTCCCTCCCCAGGAAATCACAGTACTCTCTTCCTCTCTCAGTAAAGCTCTAGCCAAACAGGACAAGAGATGCAGAATTCTGCTGCCTTCATCTTCACCTTCCTCTAGGCCTGCAGGAAAGACACAGACACTGACTATAGTCCCTGCCCACCAGATGAGGCAGTTTTTTGCTTTCTTAAAGGAAAATATCTCAGACAGGATGTCTTACGTCGTGGGCAAAAGTGGACATCATATGGGAAACTCAAGACAAGAAGAAAGTTATAAACTCCATTATCAGGCTTTAGGTACCTCAAACCAAAGATGGAAAACAGTTATGGGCTGAGCGTAAAGAAAAAATTCATCAAGAGATCACAGTGGACCACCAGCTGAACAGGTCAAACGCTGCTTTGTTTTTTAGTGAGTGGCCCGAAGAGCAGTAGCCGAGGGGCTCGGTCCAATCTTTTCATCACGTCTTGTTCTGATCAAACCACTATGAGAAGCTGTCCTATATACACCAGACGCCACCTAGGCCCTCGAACTTAGAAACCAAACCCAACTAAAGTATAAACTGTGTTTCCTTGAATCGAGGAATCCGTCAGTTCTAAGATACACCATTATTTTATCAAGCACTACAGAAGAAAAATGTTGCCAATTAAACTATGGCATGGTTTCTTACTACTTAGAATTTGCACTTTATTTTTATTGAAAGAGTTCTTTTAAACTTAAGACTTTTTTTTTAATAACATATTATTCTTGGGCACTAATAAAAAGAAAAGGAAAACTGAAATGTATTGGTTAAGTTAATGATAACCAGGTCACCTGGCTGAAGGCAACTGTTAAATGTCACTGGTTTGGGAAGTACAGTCCAGTTTCAGAAATGTTAAAATTTTAACAAAAAAAATGTACAGCACAGAATCAATAAAACACTATTACGTCTAGCTCAGTGACAAAAATTAGAAAGGACAAGGCAGTAGTTCATAGGATAACCGCTAAAAAAGACACTTCATTGATTAAAAATGTATTTATACAGAGAAAACAGTTCAGGTTATTCAACTCAAGAAAGATGAAAACAGAATAAGGATTTGAGAATATTCTTCAAGGACATCAAAAGTCCTGTCCCAAAAAAGTGATTTCCAATTGTTTTATCTTTATATTTTTTTAAAAAATAAGAGCCTACAAGAAACTTGAGCATGGAGATGTTCTATCTGGAGGAAGAGTCTCACCTAGAAATGCCTCTGAAGTCACACAACATGTCACCAGCTGGAATCCTGATCTGGAGAGTGTGTGTAACCTCCATCCACTCCCTGTGACAGTTACAACCCAACAACAAGGGTTTAAATGGTGGCACTGATCAATTAAATATTTGCACAATATGAAGCCTTGCTAGTTGCCGGTAATATAAAGATTCAGCACGTTACTGGGGGCAGGGGGGGGATTGGTAAGCCACAGGGAGAATTTCCCACATTGGGATTTCAGACCTTGAGATGACTGCCAAAGTCTGGGGTGAGAACTTTCTATTAGTCACAAGGAGCTGTAGTGATCTTAGGAGGTCAGAAGCCCCCTGGGCACAGCAAAGGGGTGAGTAACATCTGAGAGTTTCAAGTCTGGTCAAGCTCCAGATCTCTGAGTCTGAAACACCAAGTCTCTTTTTAAGCACAAGCCAGATGTGGCTGAGAGTAGACAGCTTTGGCTCCTGCCCCCTGCCCAACCATGTGGCTGAACCCAGCAGTTTACGGCACCCATGGCCCTCCAAACACAAATCCAACTTCACAAATTAGCAAGCGATGTATGTCCTGCGGAAGGCAGGAGATACATATACCACCAGGCAAAGCTTAACAATCTCCACTAGACAGCTGGTGATTGCCATGATGCGTCACCTCCTGTTTCTCTATTTTTTCTATTTCTTCTCCTGAATGCCCAGAGGTTGCTCTGCTGGAAGCAAAACAAGTGGGCGCTAGAGCAATGCCTGCGGGGTGGGGGCAGATTCTCATGGTTCCTCTGGCTATGTTCTTGGGTTTTGCTGAGACCAGGAAATAGAGGAAAGCCACTGAGCCAGTCTGTTTCCCTTGCAGACAAAACCGGGGAACATAGGGGAGCCACCACACTGATCCCTTCCCTGCTGGCTATAACGAGGACAGAGGCCCTTTGGTATCATGCGGGGATGGAGTGGAGGGGAGGACGCCCTGGCCTGGACCTCCTTCACTGCCCCTTCTTTCCCAGCAACCCTTGGCAACCTCCCCCAGGCCAGTGCCTGACCCAGCTGGCGGATTGCCTTGTGTAACTGTAGCTCCCACGGCCCAGATCTGCTCTCTGGGTGCAGGTCTCAGGCCCCATCACGAAGCAGGGCCGGAGGACTGGGAGTGTGACTCTGCTGGGCTCAGGACCCAAGCGGAGTGCCAAAAAACACTGCCCTCATCTGCATGCAGCTTTGCATCACATTTGCATACCAACAAGAGACTGACCCAGACTTGCCTGCTGAGTGTCCAGGAGTCTCCGGCGGAGGTGTGGGTCAGCTTGCTACAGGGTCGGGGCAGTGAGTGTGGCAGTGCGTGCATGGGACCTTTTGAAGGAGGTTACCATTACCTTCTCCTGACACTTCCTCTGAAATCCCCTTTGACCACTGGAAATGGTTCAATCGTCTTAGGACGCCAGCTCTGGGTCATCTTGGTGTCACTTGAGCATGCTTTGGGAATGCCCACGTCTACTTCCTACCTAACTCAAATTACTCAGCAAACCCCACAGCTCTCCTCCAAGGGCAATCTGTGGCCAAGAAAAATAATGTTTTCACCATACAGTCCTATCAGAGAATAAGTAACATGCAGATTAATATTTTAAGATGATTAAAGAGAGCTAATTTTCCATGTATAGGGTTATCTGATGGTACAAGCTATTGCTTTATGGATGACCAAGTCAGGTTCCACTGATCTGACTAGGGGTGGGTCCCCTCCTTTGGTGCCCGCACTGACAGCCACGGAGGGAAAGTTTTTGGTAAAGGGGGACAACCCATCCAGGTACAAGAGAACATTTTTCTGTCTAAGGGCACTCCCTTGCTGTAAGTACCAACTCGGTTTTCAGTGTAATTCTCAGATTTAAGTTTAGTATAAATAGAGATTTAGCAGAAGTGAGAAAATCCAACCATACATCCCATTTTATTCTCTACACAGAGTAACCAGAGAGGAAAGGTTTTCTTTAACTGGCGGTTTCCAATCAAAATGTGTTCTATGAATAGGAGAAAAAAAAATGGTGTACAGAAGCTAAGCTACTCTACATTCTGATGAGGACAATTTCCGCCCATAGGCATCAAACTGTTGACCTGACTCAGTGATGACAAAGTCAGAGAGCTTCATGTTGAACATGAGAACATGCAGACTGAAGCACAGTGATCATCATTCTGCCATTTCATCCACAAATCAAACTCAGATATTCTTTGTATATTTTGTTGTTGTTCAGTCGCTAAGTCGTGTCCAACTCTTTGCAACCCCATGGACTGCAGCACGCCAGGCTCCCCTGTTCTTCACCATTGCCTGGAGCTTGCTCAAACTCATGTTCATTGAGTCAGTGGTGCTATCCAACCATCCCATCCTCTGTCATCCCCTTCTCCTCCTGCCTTCAATCTTTCCCAGCATACTTCTATATATATCTCTCTATAGTAGATAATGTAATTTTTAACTTAACAGAAATAAAATGTGAAGGATTGCCAGAAAGATCCAGATCATTAAACAATATCCCTGTACAATCGCAAAGCTAGACAAGAGCTCAGACAAGGAAACAGAGGCCCAACAGGTTAAGTGACACCACCGACACACAATCCGGCTGTGCAGGCCGCCCAACCAAACAACGTGGCCAAAGCTTTAAAAATGTTTAAATTTTTCACTTGAATTTCAGGCACACATTTCTTCTCTTACCAGAATTACTTCAAAAATGCGTGAGATCAGTTTGCTGTCTTCCACAAGTCTGTTAAAAAGAAATGCAAAGATAATGTATTAATAATGATTCTTAAAATTGTTTAAACTGCTGCCCCGACATGGGAGCACTGCAGCCCCATGTTTTACTGCTGAAATACTGTGACTGAGGAATAGTATGATTAAACAATCATTTTAATACACTGAATTACATCTAAACACAAAAAATGTGAGGCTTCTTTGAGAATGACTATTAGCTTTGCCTCACTGATCTGCACCAGGCAAAACCTCAAACATATATATAAATGTAAAAAATGTATTTAAAACAACAATTATTATAAAGACTATCAAAATAGGCAATGTCAGCTGAAATAATGCAACCTATCCTTCATGTAGTTAAATTATAAGCTTGCCACACTGTAATCTTTCATATGTACCTCATTATTTTCTCAACATTAATGATTTAATGTTCAATGATTTTTAATGATCTTTAAATTTAAAAAAAAGTAGACACCAATCACACAATAGCTTCAAGGCACTTTCATCAAACCTAGTGATAAGTGGTCATTTTTTGTAACAGAAGACTTTCTCCAAGCAATTTAAAGGAAAATAGCCTTTATTCAAAAGGGATAGTTTTTTTAAGAACAATACTTCAATCTCTAAATATTCCTTTAGTCCAAGGGTCAGAGAACTTTCTCTGTAAAGGGCCAAATAGTAAATATTCTGGGCTTCACAGGCCACGCAGTCTCTATAGCAACAATTACCTCTGCCACAATAGTGTAAAAGTAGGTATAAATAATCTATAAATTAATAAGCATGGCTGTGTTCCAATAAAATTTTATTTACAAAAACAGGCAGTTTCCCATATTAGGCCCATAAACTATAATTTGTTGATCCTCCTTCAGTGGCAAAAACCACTACAATATTGTAAAGTAATTTAGCCTCCAACTAATAAAAATAAATGGGAAAAAATAAAGAAAGAAAGAAAGAAAAAGAAAATCAAATTCCTTAACTTGACTAGACTTTACTTTGTAGGATAAACCACAGCGCTTAAGACAAGCATATTCCTTTCGCTGTAAGTATGGGCTGTTTGTCTATTTCACAGAGGACATCAGGTGGATAGAAAGGGAATTTATCATCTGGCCTCCCTGGAGCTTGTTTGTCTATAATACTACATTGATAAAAGAAAAGCCTATGAGACTAGCAAAAAAAAAAAAAAGATCACAGTATTTTAGAAATATCTGTTAAGGAAAAGCGAGCTACAGAGTGAATCCCTAAAGACAGAAGCACTTAGAAAACACTAGCTCAGTATCTAGCAAAAATAAACATGATCATTTTCTATAGTCTCGATAGATCAGAGGGGAAAAGTTTTGACTACAAGTATTAAATTCATTGACATTCTCTCACTTTCCTAGGCAACTGCAGGCTCAGGAAGGAAGATGGAGCTCCTTATACTATGAGTGGGTAGGACAGGAAATGCACAAACTCAGGACCAAATGCAACTTTAGGTCAACACATCCTTACTTCTCTTCATTTCCTAGATATTAACCACATCATTTCCTAAATTGGTCTTCTGAAATTTTTGTGATATATACTTTTATCAGCTCCAGGCCTGAAAGAGCCAAGCACATACATCTCTGAGTGTAGTTGCCCTAGCAACAAAAAGCCAGGAACATCACAGGGACAGAGGCACCGTGCTTCCTCAGTGGTACCAAGGAGTGACAGCTCCCTGTATCACAGCCTACTCCAACATTCAGATCCAAAAGCAGACACTCACAAGGCCAGACTTTTTATGATGGTATTTTAAAATACATCCTATTACCAACATGTGTGCCTGCTAAGTTGCTTCAGTTGTGCCTGACTCTTTGCGACCCTGTGGACCCTATGCAGCCCTCCAGGCTCCTGTGTCCGTGGTATTTGCCAGGCAAGAATACTGGAGTGGGTTGCCATGCCCTCCTCCAGAGGATCATCCCGACCCAGGGATCAAACTCCTGTCTCTCGCGTCTCCTGCATTAGCAGGCAGGTTCTTTACCACTAGCGTCATATAACTACATAAAAGACCTTAATTCAATCTTAAAAATTGCAACTAGTTCATCTCCAGGTCTCTGCATGACAAGCAGGCTGACCTGCACTACCTCTTAAGACTCTCTTAAGTTCTAACAGTTCGATCCTTATATTCTTCTGAACACAATCAACCAGAACAATTTTGTTCTTTGATCTGACTAACACATCATTTAGAGCCATGTCTGGAAAATTAAAAGCGAACTCAAGGTTAAAAAAAAAATCACTTTTAGTGAAAAAAAATTTTTTTTCTATGACATTTTCTGTGACCCATGAACTAACCTCACATGTAATCCCAAAAGAATGCTAAAACAGGTATGGGACAAGGGTAGCGGCAAACACTTACAACTATCTAAAATGCATCAGTTTTCCAGACTGTGGGAAGTGACCGATAAGTGGGCGATGAGTACTGACTAGCATTTTCTTAAATTTAAAATAATAAAATAGATATCTAAAGGTGTCACACATACTATTGTTTCTGTGGCATTTTTATTTCACTTATATGGGTACTGGGTAGCGACCTATTGTGAGTTGTATAAAAAACACCTGAAATCCACAGATTCCAGGCTGCTTCAGAGACCTTAGTTTTTAATATGTTCTTAAATTTTGATTTTAAAAACTGGGTCTGCTTACTTAATGCATCTCCTTTCCTATCACCACAGGTCCAATTAGTAGCTCAGCTCTCAAATGACCAAACCCTTAATGTGCTCTGAATAATGGAGTGCAGTTCCTCTGACTTGGTGTTCCGGGGAGCAGCTCCGGGGCTTGGGCCTCTGTAGCTCAGGGAGGATGAGGCTTACCTCTAAACAACATGGATGTGGCTGATTCTCAGGGAATTATTCAGGCAGAAAGTCTTAAATCATTATATTAGACTTTGGAAAATCATGATGCAAAAGGAAACCTTATTTGGGGGCTCTGTTGTGGTTGGCCCCCATGATTTAAATGACCAGTATCATTTTACTACATGAGTCTGCTATTTCCTAAAATTGAAAAGAATGAAAATGCTATGGCTTATGGACAGCCCAAAGGACAGGAAGGGAAAGATTTATCTGAATCTTCTAAACCAAAAAAAAGTAGAGATCTTCTTGAAATTATCCCACATCTTCAAAGGATTGTGAAGTTATTAACTGTAGTAAACTTTTCTTCCTTTATGTTAGCCATTTAAGCACACTGTGTTTAAGTAATTCCAGATGATTAAGTTGAATATACTGCCATTTCTAAATTCCATTTCTGGGACTACTTTACATTGGGTTTTTTTTGGGGGGCGGGGGGGTTTAGGGGAGGGGTTCTTTTTCCCCTAAATGATGTAATTAATTATAAGAGTGTGTGTGATGAAAGAATTTTCCTTACAAAGTTTATTTCAGGAGATTCATTGGGATTTTTGTATATCTGTGGTTCATGTTATTAACAGGTACTGTTTGCATTAGAAAATTTTAAATGAACTTGTGAACATCTTTAGGATATATTATTTGAAATTCTAACTCCTGTTCTTAAAGTAAATGTTGCCATTGGTGCTGGGAATTTTTTTTTAATTTTTAATTAATGAATTGTTTTATTAATTGATAAATTATGTATTGATAAAAATGTTAAAGTATTTACTGATGTTTGATAACTCATTTAAAATACCATATATTTAAATTTTGATAAATACTTGGTTGAGATTTAACTATGGAAGCCATAGCACAAGTTTACAAGAAAATTTTATCACAAACCATGCTAAACAATAACCAAAAGGATTCATTATTATTTAAAGTATACTTTAAATAAGAGGTCAACACTTTTGATGTAAGAAAAAACAATGGCTATTGAGGTAAAGTTATTGACTGACCTATGGAGTCAAGGTGGCCTTGGTTCTATTTTCTGGCACAATTACTTTTTATATAAAGTTTGAAAATAGAGCTAAATATAAACTATATATATAAATATAGATACAAAAGACTAGGTTCAACTTAGGTAGGGAAAATTGGTACAGGGAGATCACTCTAGTTCTGTTCAGAGAGATACAGCAGTAGGTTGGGTTGAATTTCAAACTATTATTAGCTTTTTTTTTTTTAAAAAAAAAAAGCAGGCAGAGGATCTCCACCTGCTTTTTGCTCAGTTATACAGGCAAGAAAAGTGGCCTCCAAAAGTGATAAAACACGTCTAGAGAAGCATGGGGGTCTATCCATCGAGTTACACTGTCTTGAGTTTGCTTCCTTACTTGGAGGCTTTAATCTGCTCCCAAGGTGGAGACAACACACATGAAGAAGGGCCACGAGCCTAGAGTCACAGTCCTCATCAGTCAATCCTCTCCTTCAGGAACAATGTCCTCCTCAAAGGCTTCTCCGCGGTCTCCGCAATTCTGGAGTCTGTCTAGTCATAAAGACCTTACTTAGTACTGGAGACATTTCTTCTTCCTGGATACTATGTCAGGTTATGATTAACACTTTTGAACCCTTGTCATGAGTTAATCTTACAGCTCAAAATCAATGTCTTCACGCTCAGTCAAGTCAAATGGCTTGACAAATGTCTGACAAACAGACATCACATAATAGCACTTAAATGTGGAATCTACAAGAACAGTACAAATGAACTTATTTACAGAACAGAAATTGAGTTACAGATGTAGAAAACAATCTTACGGTTAACGGGGGGAATGGAAGGGAAAAACTGGGAATTGGGATTGACATCTAGAGACAACTACATATAAAATAGGTAATAAAGACCTATTGCACAGCACAGGGAACTACGCTCAGTACTCTGTACTGACCTATGTGGGAAAAGAATCTTAAAAAGAGTGACTGTATATATATGTAAAACTGAGTCACTCTGCTATACACCTGCAACACAACACTGTAATCAACTATATCTCATGAAAACATTTTAAATGGCTTGACAGATACATAACCAAACAAGAAAACAAAACTCAACTTCCATCAGAGGTATATTCACAGGGTATAGGTGACCAGGCATGGGGAAAACTTAGGGAGCAGCCCAGATGACTGAAAGGAG